GAGTGACATTGCCGTGTTCCACATCAACACGAACAGGTTCTGTGGTATCATCCCTAAGAGCTTTGCTAGGCTAACTCTTCTACATGAGCTCGACGTTAGCAACAACCGCTTTGTGGGATCATTCCCGGAGGTGGTCCTGCAAATTCCAAACCTCAAGTACCTTGACCTCAGGTTCAATGACTTTGAGGGGAAATTGCCTCCTGAGCTCTTCAACAAGGAATTGGATGCCCTGTTCTTGAACAACAATAGGTTCACATCCACCATCCCTGACACTCTTGGCAACTCCCCCATCTCTGTTCTTGTGGTCGCAAACAATCATCTCGAGGGCTGCATCCCTAATAGCATTGGAAAAATGGTAAACAATTTGAATGAGGCCATCTTCTCCCACAACAAGTTTGCTGGGTGTTTGCCTCCTGAAATTGGGTACCTCTCAAACGTGAATGTGTTTGATGTTAGTTCAAACACATTGAGTGGGCTCCTGTCCAAGACTTTCAAAGGCCTTGAGAAGGTGGAGGAGTTGAACATTGCACACAACATGCTAACTGGGTTTGTTCCCGAGAGTCTCTGCAAATTGCCTAGCTTGGGAAATTTTAAGTTTTCCTACAACTACTTCAACGGCGAGGATCAAGAATGTGTGCCACCTTCTCGGAAGGACACACTGTTTGATGACACAAGCAACTGCTTACCAAATAGGCCTAAGCAGAAGTCAGCAAAACAATTTCAAGTTGTGGTGAACAAGCCAGTGGATTGTGGCAGGGCAAAGTGCGGAGGTCGACCAGCACCTTCAAAACCTTCTTCTCCTGCACCCAATGAGGAGCCACCCAAACAACAACCTCCTAAAGAGGAACCACCCAAACAACAACCGCCCCAAGAAGAAACTCCCACACTAGAGCCACAACCACCTAAACCAGAGCTATCTCCGGAGCCAGTTCCAGAGACTCCAGAACCAGTTGCCAGCCCCCCTCAAATAGTGGTAGCACCATCACCACCCCCACTCACACCCACAAGGCAAAGCCCCATTGTTCCAGTTCGCCCTCACTCACCACTAATTCACTCTCCACCACCACCAGTCAACTCACCCCCACCACCTGTCCACTCTCCACCACCACCCGTAGCAACACCGCCATCACCTGCACCCACGCGACAAAGTCCCATTGTTCCGATTCGCCCTGACTTACCACCACCCCTAGTCAACTCACCCCCACCACTTGTCCACTCTCCTCCACCACCCGTAGCAACATCACCATCGCCCGCACCCACACGACAAAGTCTCATTGTTCCAATTCGCCCTGACTCACCACCACCACTTGTCCACTCTCCTCCACCACTTGTAATAACACCACCATTGCCAGAACCCACAGGGCAGAGTCCCATTGTTCCAATTCGACCTGACTCACCGCCACCCCCAATCAACTCCCTTCCACCACCTGTCCACTCTCCCCCACCACCTGTAGCAACATCACCATCGCCAGCACCCACAGGGCAAAGTCCCATTGTTCCAATTCGCCCCCACTCACCACCTGTGAACTCATCCACACCACCAGTCTACTCTCTTCCACCACCGGCTTCACCAACAGGGCAAAGTCCTATTGTTCCAGTTCACTCTCCTCCACCACCCGTAATAACACCACCATCGCCAGCACCCACAGGGCAAAGTCCCATTATTCCAATTCGACCTAACTCACCGCCACCCCCAATCAACTCCCTTCCACCACCTGTCCACTCTCCCCCACCACCTGTAGCAACATCACCATCGCCAGCACCCACAGGGCAAAGTCCCATTGTTCCAATTCGACCTGACTCACCGCCACCCCCAATCAACTCCCTTCCCCCACCTGTCCACTCTCCCCCACCACCTGTAGCAACATCACCATCGCCAGCACCCACAGGGCAAAGTCCCATTATTCCAATTCGACCTAACTCCCCGCCCCCCCCAATCAACTCCCTTCCCCCACCTGTCCACTCTCCCCCACCACCTGTAGCAACATCACCATCGCCAGCACCCACAGGGCAAAGTCCCATTATTCCAATTCGACCTAACTCCCCGCCCCCCCCAATCAACTCCCTTCCCCCACCTGTCCACTCTCCCCCACCACCTGTAGCAACATCACCATCGCCAGCACCCACAGGGCAAAGTCCCATTATTCCAATTCGACCTAACTCCCCGCCCCCCCCAATCAACTCCCTTCCCCCACCTGTCCACTCTCCCCCACCACCTGTAGCAACATCACCATCGCCAGCACCCACAGGGCAAAGTCCCATTGTTCCAATTCGCCCTCACTCACCCCCGGTGAACTCATCCCCACCACCAGTCCATTCTCTTCCACCGCCGGCTTCACCCACAAGGCAAAGTCCTATTGTTCCAGTTCACTCTCCTCCACCCCCAGTCAACTCACCCCCACCGCCAGTTCACTCACCTCCTCCCCCAGTGTATTCACCTCCACCACCAGTTCACTCTCCACCACCACCAGTCCACTCTCCACCACCTCCAGTTCACTCGCCTCCTCCACCAGTGCATTCACCTCCACCACCAGTTGACTCTCCACCACCACCAGTCCACTCTTCTCCACCCATAGTCAACTCGCCCCCACCACCAGTACAATCTCCTCCACCTCCAGTTCACTCTCCACCACCCCCAGTCAACTCTTCCCCACCACCAGCACCGATCTACTCATCGCCACCTCCAGTCCAATCACCACCACCACCCACCCAATCTCCACCGCCTCCAGAAAACTCCCCTCCACCACCTTCTCCTTCTCTTTCACCTCCTCCTCCCGTTGTCTCATCACCCCCTCCAATAGATGACTTTGTTTTGCCACCAAACTTCGGCTCCCAATACTCATCTCCACCTCCACCAATGTTTCCGGGCTACTAAGCATTATGACATCAAAAAGCAACTGTTTTTGATTTTTTTATATATAAATTATACAATCTCACATAAATGCACCCGCTATTGTTAGTTGATCATTGCTTGTACTTCATGACATCAATCAAACTGTAAATCTTCTTTCATATGCCTACTTAATGCAATAAAGGAAATTTTACATTCATTGATATTTTGCTTTTTTGCTTTGTTTTAATATTCTGTTTGATGTGCATCAATGAAACTCCCATCAAATCATATCCAAACCACAAATTTTAATATAATTAATAATGGTACAAATAATGGAATGCAAAGGCCATGTACATAGTTCTAATTTTGGATATCTGATTTTGAGTATGAATCTGATGATTTGACTATTGAGAATCAAAATTTATTGTATACAAATCCTGGACAGACGATGAGGAAGAGGTCGTCCCTCTTGCATCCGATAAATAAATGAGGCTTTGAGTCCCACACCAACTCTGTTGAACACTCAGATTAGACTCATCTCTTAAGGACTTAAACCTCATTTCATCACCATAAATACTCGGATTTATGTTCAGTTCATGAACAATGGCTCGGCCCTCAAGCATGCTCACCACTGCCGACATTGTAGGTCTTAGCGCTGGTGATGGATTAGTGCAGAGTAGAGCTACCTTAATCATTCTCATTGGCTCTTTCTTGTTGAACTCAGATCCCAACTTTGGATCCACCAGCTCCATCAGATTTCCTTTCTGTTTCAAAACAAACGCCTGCGACATCCAAAAAGGAAATAGATGGAAAAATAAACTTTCTTGATTGTTGTTATATATATATATGTATGTATATTGTTTAGAACATTTTGATGTCAGTACTGAAGAGAAATTGAAAGTAGAACATCATTTGCAACTTGCAACATAAAAAAGTTCATTTTCCTGATCAAAAAGTGTAGGGTAACACAAAGCTGGAAGACAAATATGTCAAATGGAAAATAGTTCCTACTAATTCATCTACTAAACAAAATGCAGTACGATCTTACCCAATCAAGAAGGCAGACATAATTCTCGTTTGGCCGATATTTGATGTTGTTATTGCCAGATACAAGTTCCAGTGCAACAACCCCGAAGCTGTAAACATCTACTTTATCAGTTAAATGGCCCCATAATGCATATTCTGGTGCCATGTATCCTCTACAAAACAAATGGGAAGAGTGTTTTATCATTGTGATCAAATAAATAAAAAATAATCAAGATTTGGAAGATAAAAATCAATTAGGGTTCCACAATGAAGGAAAGAGAAAGAGAAGGGAAGGTTTGCTCACATAGTTCCAGCTACTCTGGTACTAATGTGACTCTTCTCCTCTTCATTCAGCTTGGCCAAACCAAAGTCAGAGATTTTAGGGTTCAGGTCCCTGTCAAGCAGTATATTGGTAGTTTTGATGTCTCTATGAACGATTTTCAGTGTTGACTCCTCATGCATGAAAGACCTCTTGCAATGCCGACGCATATTTTCTGCCTTGTAGGCCAATCCAGTTTCAGTATACCTTTCTCTTGACCTGAATTCAAACATAACTTCACAAATAAGATTCATTCATCAAACTAGAATGTGCAATTTAAGTTTTCCAGCTTACCAAACAAAGAATGTGCAAGGCTATTGTTCTCCATGTATTCATATACCAACAGTAACTGATTTCCTTCAATGCAACATCCATACAATCTAACAAGATTTGGGTGTTTTAATGCAGAAATCATGCCTATTTCATTCACAAATTCACGATTCCCTTGCTTCGATTTTGAAGAAAGTTGCTTAACCGCAATAATAGTACCATCCAATAGTTCACCCTGCAATTTGAAATATAATACATTTGAGAAATGTTGGTCATACATAACACTTTATTAGTGTCATAGACCAAAGTCAAAGAAAAACAGAAGGAGAAGTGCTTGCATATTTAGGGGAAACAAAAAGGAGTTGTAGAATACCTTGTAAACAGCTCCAAAGCCACCTTCCCCAAGCTTGTTTGCAGCATCAAAGTTGTTAGTGGCAGCTTTGATTTGTTTGAATCTAAAGAAACCAGTTTGTAGATCTAATCCTCTCAGATCTGTTCATGCGACAAGAGGTTGGCATATTGAACAGATTTTTCACTGAGAATTTGAGGGCCTTTTGGCTTATTAATTAGACGAAATTGCCAAGTCTTATTTCCTCTTTAGCACAGTATTCACAATACCTTGTTCTCTAGTAGATGCCCTGCCTCCAAAACAGCATCTCAACCAAAGAATGCCAAAAGTCATGAAAATAAGACACAACACTGAGACAACTCCAACCACAATGAATATCTTCTTTTTGCTATCGTCAGGTGGTTCGAAATCTAGAAGTGAAAGCAGAGCCAAGAACAGTGATGAACAAGATGGCAGTCAAAATAAAGAGAAAACTTACTACTTAAATTACTTACCAGACTCCACTGAGATAGCAGATATAAGAGAACCATATATTCCTCTTTTCGGAGCATTAGTTGTCCCTTTCCCAGCCCAATGAAAGCGGATCTCTAAAGTCATAACATTGACAACTGCTTTAAATACCTTAATCACTTCCTTATCAACCCCTTGTGCTTCCTTTTGAATATTAAAATCCTTCAATACCAGTTTTTCCTGTAATAATTACTATACTTAATCATTCAAGTTAAAACTAAGAGCGAAAGGGAGTCATTAAGAAAATTGTTAAGAACATTGGAGGAAGCCTAGCTATGTTGATAGGTGGTTGAATTTTTAGAGAAAATATGGAGAATAGTTCAGTTTATCCAAATGCTAAAAAAATAAAAATTAAGTAACATGGAGAATAGTTATTTTTGCTTCATCTCATTTATGGTATGGTGAACATAAAAGGATGACTACCTGGATATAAACATAAAAAATTCAGGGCAATTTGATGATTGAAGTGTACGTATTCCACCATCACTAGGAACCAAATGGAGATTTATAGAGATTAAATTTATAAGACAATCACTAAAGGGGTAACTTGAAGAGACATGCAGAGCTTTGAGTTTCAGGTGCATAAGAAAAAAAGAACTGACTACCTGGATATAAACATAAAAAATTCAGGGCAATTTGATGATTGAAGTGTACGTATTCCACCATCACTAGGAACCAAATGGAGATTTATAGAGATTAAATTTATAAAGACAATCACTAAAGGGGTAACTTGAAGAGACATGCAGAGCTTTGAGTTTCAGGTGCATAAGAAAAAAAGAAACAAAGAAACAACTTAAAGAGGATTGCTTGCTTACCCAGAAAAACAGAAAATGCTTGAATAGGAATGCTTGATCCTCGGTTGAAGCGAGTGTTGTCTGTGTTCGTTAGTTTGAAGAGAAAAAACTCCTCTGAGTTTGGGCAACAAGTAAAGAGGGTTACTCTTAGCTGTTTGTTTGAAGAGAAAGGTGAGTACTTTTTCTTCTCCTTCTGGGTAATTTGGCAGTAAAAAGAGTGAGTGTTTGTTCGTTTAAAGAGAAAAAAGTTATCTTCTCAGTATTTTGACAGAAAATCAAAGGCGAACTGCGAAGAAGACGAGGCCTTCTCTCTCTCTCTCTATAGTTTGTCTCTTTTTTACATAATTTTGTTCTATATTAGGTTAATTCCTGTGTAAACAAAAGTAGCTTTACTTTTCTTCTTTTTGCAGTAAAAAGAGTGAGTGTTTGTTCGTTTAAAGAGAAAAAAGTTATCTTCTCAGTATTTTGACAGAAAATCAAAGGCGAACTGCGAAGAAGACGAGGCCTTCTCTCTCTCTCTCTATAGTTTGTCTCTTTTTTACATAATTTTGTTCTATATTAGGTTAATTCCTGTGTAAACTAAAGTAGCTTTGCTTTTCTTCTTTTTAAAAAAAAAATGAAATGTTTTACTTTTCCTTTTGGACCCAAAAATACAAACCCATCAAATCTAAAAAAATTCATGTGATTTGTACATTAATAAATAAATTGCATGAATTTTTAAAATTAGAAAAAATAGGTTTGAGGATAAAAATAGAAAAATGATTCTATTAGAAGAAAAAAACTTGTGCAGGAGCATAATATTGTATTATTTATGAAGGGAACTTGATTAGTACATGTCACAATTTGGATGGAAGGGTAATGCTACACCTTGGTTAAAAATGATGAACAAATTTGCACTTAATCCTTTTTTTTATATGTAAAGAAAAACATGAATGAATCAAATGAATGCAGTTGAGGATTTAATTCATGAACAAGGCTTAGTGCTAGTGATGGAATTAGATGTATACTTTAAATATTCTAATTGCTTTTAAGCAGACATATACTGTTGGTCATAGTGTTGGTGAGATGGATTAGTTAATAAGATGTGCCTTTCTTAACATACTGTACAACAAACCAACTAAATATGCGTTGCCTAATTTTAAAGAGCCAGAGAGGCAAACAACTCAAGTTTGCAAATCCTGCAGAGAAATTCTTGCACAGCCTCTCAAATAAACCAACCAAACAGACCTTTCCTCTCAATATAATCTCCCTTGCTACCCCTCTCCTCCTCATCAGCCTTGGGCCTAATAACCAAACAATGAAGGCTGCCTATTTTCTAGTTTTCTTTTTTCTCTTCTCCTCCTTCTCATCTTTCTCTTCTGCTCTAACTGATGCTGAAGCGTCCTTCATTGCCCGCCGCCAGCTCCTACATTTTCATGCAGGCCATGACCTGCGTGGCGACCATGAATATGAAGTTGAGGTGAACTTGAAGTTTCCACATTCCAGGCTTAGACGTGCATACGTTGCACTTCAAGCTTGGAAAAAGGCCATATATTCAGACCCTATTAAAACTACTGAGAACTGGGTCGGTGCTAATGTTTGTGCTTACACTGGAGTATTTTGTGCCCCGGCTCTTGATGACCCACAGTTAGAGGTTGTGGCTGGCATTGACATCAACCATGCAGACATTGCAGGGTACCTTCCTGTTGAATTAGGCATGTTGAGTGACATTGCCGTGTTCCACATCAACACGAACAGGTTCTGTGGTATCATCCCTAAGAGCTTTGCTAGGCTAACTCTTCTCCACGAGCTCGACGTTAGCAACAACCGCTTTGTGGGATCGTTCCCGGAGGTGGTCCTGCAAATTCCAAACCTCAAGTACCTTGACCTCAGGTTCAATGACTTTGAGGGGAAATTGCCTCCTGAGCTCTTCAACAAGGAATTGGATGCCCTGTTCTTGAACAACAACAGGTTCACATCCACCATCCCTGACACTCTTGGCAACTCCCCCATCTCTGTTCTTGTGGTCGCAAACAATCATCTCGAGGGCTGCATCCCTAATAGCATTGGAAAAATGGTAAACAATTTGAATGAGGCCATCTTCTCCCACAACAAGTTTGCTGGGTGTTTGCCTCCTGAAATTGGGTACCTCTCAAACGTGACTGTGTTTGATGTTAGTTCAAACACATTGAGTGGGCTCCTGTCCAAGACTTTCAAAGGCCTTGAGAAGGTGGAGGAGTTGAACATTGCACACAACATGCTAACTGGGTTTGTTCCCAAGAGTCTCTGCAAATTGCCTAGCTTGGGAAATTTTACGTTTTCCTACAACTACTTCAACGGCGAGGATCAAGAATGTGTGCCACCTTCTCGGAAGGACACACTGTTTGATGACACAAGCAACTGCTTACCAAATAGGCCTAAGCAGAAGTCAGCAAAACAATGTCAAGTTGTGGTGAACAAGCCAGTGGATTGTGGCAGGGCAAAGTGCGGAGGTCGACCAGCACCTTCAAAACCTTCTTCTCCTGCACCCAAGGAGGAGCCACCCAAACAACAACCTCCTAAAGAGGAACCACCCAAACAACAACCGCCCCAAGAAGAAACTCCCACACTAGAGCCACAACCACCTAAACCAGAGCTATCTCCGGAGCCAGTTCCAGAGACTCCAGAACCAGTTGCCAGCCCCCCTCAAATAGTGGTAGCACCATCACCACCCCCACTCACACCCACAAGGCAAAGTCCCATTGTTCCGGTTCTCCCTCACTCACCACCAGTTCACTCTCCACCACCACCAGTCAACTCACCCCCACCACCTGTCCACTCTCCTCCACCACCTGTAGCAACACCGCCATCGCCCACACCCACGCGACGAAGTCCCATTGTTCCAATTCGCCCTGACTTACCACTACCCCGAGTCAACTCACCCCCACCACTTGTCCACTCTCCTCCACCACCCATAGCAACATCGCCATTGCCTGCACCCACACGACAAAGTCCCATTGTTCCAATTCGCCCTGACTTACCACCACCCCCAGTCAACTCACCCCCACCACCTGTCCATTCTCCTCCACCACCCATAGCAACATCACCATCACCTTCACCCACACGACAAAGTCCCATTGTTCCAATTCGCCCTGACTCACC